TCACACACAGAGAGAGAGAGAGGCAGAGACACAGGCAGAGGGAGAAGCAGGCTCCATGCACGGGGAGCCCGACGTGGGATTCGATCCCGGGTCTCCAGGATCGCGCCCTGGGCCAAAGGCAGGCGCCAAACCGCTGCGCCACCCAGGGATCCCCCCACCTGATATTTAATCATGGATACAGCTTTATCCTAATTCCTCTCTACCAATTAATTCATTCAAAAATATGTAAGATTTTAAGGGCTTGTTACACAGAGACTTTAACTAGATATTGGGGGGGGGGGAATGTAACACACCCAACTCATGATATGTTTTCATTTACATAGGACGTCTGTCCTAGGTGTAAACGTTCTTCCAATTCATCAACGGTAGTCTCAGAAAACAAATACCACAGCAGCATACCAATCCCCTATATTTTTATGAAAGTTTACAGGTGCCCTATTATTTATTGTGCTTGCTAAATGATCAGAACAATTACTGGCATTCAACAAAAAGTAACTGCCAACAGAGGTAGCGTAACAAAAACAAATCAGTTTTGCTATCAATAACTTTACTAATTCATCATCTAAGTTATTAAAAGTAAATTTTAGTTAGTAAATTTTTTTTTAAGTTTTAAAAGCTAGCTAAAAATGGAAGTGAAATGAGATGGTTTTGCAGGCAACGAATTGCAACACACACAAATAATATTTCAAGGGAACTGCGGCCTTTCGATGGGTTGTGTAGGTGATGGAAATGCTAACCTATATATATTGGGGTTTTCAACAATGCCGTGCCACAAGTTCATAAGCAGTTACAGTTTAACAATATTAAAAGACTTGAAGTTTGAAATCTTCATATTCTATTTCAAAAATGATACATACCCACAAGCATGATGAAGGCAAACACACGTAGTAACAGCACAAGATTCATAAAGGATTTGGTCAAACCTAAATTGCATTTTACAAGCTTTCTTGCATTGTCTGAAGAGACACTTTTCGATAAAACTATCCATCTCTTTAAAAATACTGATCATGCCATCAGTTTCAAAGCATTTGACTATCTTAGCTATACAGAATCAAGTAACAGAAAAGGCCAGTGCTATTCCCAATATTATGCTAAATGACTGAATCTCGTGGATTTCATTGAATACATTTAACTATAGTGATTATTATTAATCAAGTTTGCAATCATTTCTTTTCCTGAAAGAATCTTCTTAGCTTAGAGAACTCGGAAGGGGAAAGAGGGAGGACCCAGACAAAGCTAACCATAACCCAACAAATTATTTCAACACTTCAACTCCACTTTCCCACAAATAGAACAAAGCACACTATTCTAATCACTCTTCCAAAAATATTAGAAATAAAAAGTAGCCACTAAATGGCTAGTGATATTCAAGCAATCTACAAACACTAGGTTTTAACTCAATAAATAGGAGGCATAAGAGTACAGTGGTTGAGAGGATGGGCTATAGAGTCATGCTTCTTTGGTTGAAATCCCAGTACCCCACCTAGCCATGTGACTTCAAGCAAGTTATATGCCCTCTGCATCTGTTTCCTCACCTGCTAATTGAGGAGCAGTCCTCACCTCACTGGATTGTTGTCAGAACCCGATAACAATAGTGCCTGGTACACGATAATTTACAGCGACTGATTTCTAAATTGATTCCCCATAGGATTTCTGTAAGAAATCAATTTTTTAAATCGAGCTCTTTTTAAGGAGGGGATAAAATCCAAATTCATATTAAATACTGTCCATTAAGAATCTAAATAGGGGCAGCCCGGATGGTTCTGGAGTTTAGCACCGCCTTCAGCCCAGGGCGTGATCCTGGAGACCCGGGATCGAGTCCCGCGACCTTCCTGCATGGGGCCTGCTTCTCCCTCTGCCTGTGTCTCTGCGCCCCCCCCCATGAATAAATAAATAAAATCTTAAAAAAAAAAAAAGAATCTAAATAGACATCACCTTAAGTTTCAAAGGATGGTTTACCAGATTTCCTACAATTTCTCAGCTTCAATTACATGTCAAATACCGAGCTGCCTGAATCAAGGCATCCAGAAAGTGTTCTAACACTGGAAAAATGAGGGCTCTTGTTCCTGCTCTACCAGTGAGCTACATGACCTTAAATTAAATACATCATAAAACAGTCATTAAAGTATCCTATAAAATGGAGGGGTGAGGAGAGAAGAGAGAGAGAAACCCGATTTCTGCTTTAGTCCTCAAAATCCTGTGGGTCCTAAATGGTTAATTCTGATGATTCCCAAGATTATCCTCCTATAAAGTAAGAACTGGACAAAGAAAGATAGTTAAAGCCAGGTTGACCAGGTTAAGTGCTATTAGTATTCCCTGCGAGCTGCAGAAGTCAAAAATGGTATCTTATTTATCTGTTTAACCCAGTGCACTGGCAGGCAGTACCCATTCAAAATGCTGGCCTGAGGGGATCCCTGGGTGGCTCAGCGGTTTGGCACCTGCCTTCGGCACAGGGCGGGATCCTGGAGACCCGGGATCAAGTCCCACGTCGGGCTCCCTGCATGGAGCCTGCTTCTCCCTCTGCCTGAGTCTCTGCCTATCTCTCTCTCACTCTCTCTCTCTATGTCTATCATGAAGAAATAAATAAATAAATATTTTTTAAAAAGTGCTGGCCTGATAACACTATACACACAAATTGCGGACCAACTACATTTTTATTAGAGATGTCCTTAGAGAATTAGAAGTTATCCAATCCTTGAGACCTATTTCTCCGCCTCCATTGGGCTATACACTCTGCCCTTGCCGCCTTTAATTCTCACAGCAGTCCAGTGAGGTAGGCACTATCGCTACCCCATTTTATAGATGGGGTAACTGAGGTCGTAAAGCTTGCGTGGGTTAGCAGAAGCCCCGGTTTCGAGGCTCCTCCCAGCCAGAGCCGAACCCGGAGCGGGAGCCGGAGCGGGAGCCCGGATTCTAACCCAGGTCTATCTTGCTTGAAAAATCTGTGCTCCTAACCACCCTCAACTGCACTTTCCATTAACACTCGGCCAATAAGCGTAAAGAAGTAAAACGATAAGAGACGTGCAGACATATCAGCCTTTAGTTCCACCGTGTAAAGTTATGATAAAAATGTGCTGGGGGTGATACAGTCACCAGGGCGGAGGCCCTCTTCCTCCGCCAGCAGTGTAATCTCCGGAGGGAAGAAATAAATCTCAGACCTGTGCCTGCGGCTGGCTGCCCGGTAAACCGGGGAAGACAGCAGCAGCGGACAGCGGAAGGCGGCCGGCACCGCGCGCCAGTATCGGCCTGGGGCCAGCTACCCAGCAAGTTGTTTAGGACCCACGGGGGAGCACAGAGCGGCGCCCAGATGAGTCCAGAGAGGAGGCTGCCTGTTGTCTTCAGCTTTAAGTCGGCCGGCCCAGCGGCTGCGCACCTTGGCCATCTAGTCCTGCAGACCTCAGTGTGCCCATCTGTACTTAGGCCCCGCCAGCCTCGCTCAGCGGTGCGGGGCGTGGGGGCAAGAGGGGTCCAACCTGGTCTTCCCGGGGGAACAGCACGCGGGGGGGGGGTCCTAGCCGGCTCTCCCCGGAACAGCACGCGGGGGGGGGGGGTTCCTAGCCGGCTCTCCCCGGAACAGCACGCGGGGGGGGGGGTTCCTAGCCGGCTCTCCCGGCGACAGCACGCGGGGGGGGGGGTCCTAGCCGGCTCTCCCGGCGACAGCACGCGGGAGGGGGTCCTAGCCGGCTCTCCCCGGAACAGCACGCGGGGGTGTCCTAGCCGGCTCTCCCCGGAACAGCACGCGGGGGGGGGTCCTAGCCGGCTCTCCCCGGAACAGCACGCGGGGGGGGGTCTAGCCGGCTCTCCCGGGACAGCACGCGGGGGGGGTCCTAGCCGGCTCTCCCGGGAACAGCACGCGGGGGGGGTCCTAGCCGGCTCTCCCGGAACAGCACGCGGGGTCAGGCTCCGACGACGGGGGGGGTCCTAGCCGGCTCTCCCGGGAACAGCAGCTGCGGGGCAGCGGGGGGGGTCCTAGCCGGCTCTCCCGGAACAGCACGCGGGGGGGGTCCTAGCCGGCTCTCCCGGGAACAGCACGCGGGGGGGGGGGAGTCCTAGCCGGCTCTCCCCGGAACAGCACGCGGGGGGGGGTCCTAGCCGGCTCTCCCGGGGACAGCATGCGGGGAGGGGGTCCTAGCCGGCTCTCCCCGGAACAGCACGCGGGGGGGGTCCTAGCCGGCTCTCCCCGGAACAGCACGCGGGGGGGGTCCTAGCTGGTTCTCCCGGGACAGCATGCGGGGAGGGGGTCCTAGCCGGCTCTCCCCGGAACAGCACGCGGGGGGGGGTCCTAGCCGGCTCTCCCCGGAACAGCACGCGGGGGGGGTCCTAGCCGGCTCTCCCGGGAACAGCACGCGGGGGGGGGTCCTAGCCGGCTCTCCCGGGAACAGCATGGGGGGGGGTCCTAGCGGCTCTCCCGGCGACAGCACGCGGGGGGGGGGTCCTAGCCGGCTCTCCCGGAACAGCACGCGGGGGGGGGTCCTAGCTGGTTCTCCCGGGACAGCATGCGGGGGGGGGTCCTAGCCGGCTCTCCCGGGAACAGCACGCGGGGGGGGGGTCCTAGCCGGCTCTCCCGGGGACAGCACGCGGGGGGGGGGAGTCCTAGCCGGCTCTCCCGGGAACAGCACGCGGGGGGGGGGTCCTAGCCGGCTCTCCCGGAACAGCACGCGGGGGGGGGTCCTAGCCGGCTCTCCCCGGAACAGCACGCGGAGGGGGGGGGTCCTAGCCGGCTCTCCCGGGAACAGCACGCGGGGGGGGTCCTAGCCGGCTCTCCCCGGAACAGCAGGCGGGGGGGGTCCTAGCCGGCTCTCCCAGGGACAGCACGCGGGGGGGGGGGTCCTAGCCGGCTCTCCCCGGAACAGCACGCGGGGGGGGGTCCTAGCCGGCTCTCCCGGGGACAGCACGCGGGGGGGGTCCTAGCCGGCTCTCCCGGGGACAGCACGCGGGGGGGGTGGGGGGCAGGGGAGCGGGGTCAACGGCCTCTCCCCCCACTCTGCGGCAATACTCACTGCCGGACGACTGTCAGCGCGAAGCGCGTCATCCTCTTGGCGCCCAGACGCGGGAAGCGAGGCCCCAGACCCGCTCGCGTGCTCCGCACTCGCCCGCCGGCCGCTTCGCCGCACTGCGGGGCACCTCGCCCACACCACTTCCGCCAAGCCCCGCCGGCCGGCCGGCTCCATTGCCATAGGCCGAGGCGGCCACCTACGTCATCCGCGGGAGGCCAATCAGAGCGGCGGGGGGCCGGCAGCTCGGCGGAGACTGGCGGGCGATGAGGCTCCGCCCAGCCGCGGCGCTTGCGCCCCTGTGTGCAGGCCCTGATTGGCGCGCGGCAGGTGCGTGCGGGGCCCGCCCCGGAGGCCTCCGGGGAGGTGATTCCTGCCCGGGCAAGTTTGGATTTGGGAGATTCCGGGTTGAAGCGGGTGAGCGGCGCGTGGGTTTGGGGTCGATTGCAGGTGAAGCTGTAACGCAGCTGGTAATCTTACCTCCAGGGTGTACGTGTTAGACACATGGGGTCCTATGAGGTGCACCCCTGTGCACCCCTGACACTGGGGATGTAAGGTCAGCAAGGTCTGCGGACTTGACCCACCCAGGTTCGGCCTCGCCGGCGCCTGGACAGATGCGCTCCCGCTGCAGACTTTTCCTCCAGTGTGTTGTGAGCGCTCTTCCAGCCTAGGCCTCGTGCTTGGCCTGCGAAGCCAATTTATCGAGAATCCCCTCACCCTTAGTATCTAATCAAGCTCCTCTTCTTCCACCCTCTGAATTTTGTCCAGCTCCCCTTCCTCCATTTTTTTTTTTCTTTTAAGATTTTATTTATCCATGAGACACACAGAGAGAGGCAGAGACACAGGCAGAGGGAGAAGCAGGTTCCCTGCGGGGAGCCCGATGCAGAACTCAATCCCGGGACTCCAGGATCACACCCTGGGCCGAAGGCAGGTGCTCAACCACTGAGCCAAGCAGGTGCCCCTCTTCCTCCACTCTAGATTTCAAGTTCCTCTCCCCCCTCTCCCTTGATAGCTAACCAACTTCCTCTTAGTTTCCATTCCCTCCCTCCCCCACACCCCCTGGCTGTAAAACTCTATTTGGCTCTGCTGTATTTGAATTCAGAGTCTCTCCTCCACGTTGCAATAGTCTTGACCTCAGTTGCAGTAGTCTTAAGTAAAATCTTCCATACCATTTTTTTAAGGTTTTATTTATGTATGGGGTGGGGGGCGGGGAGAAGAACAGAAGTAGGCAGAGCGGCAGGCAGAGAGAGAGAGAGAGAGGGAGCAGCAGGCTCCTGGATGGGCAGAAAGCCCGACGTGGGGCTTGATCCCAGGATCCTGGATGACCTGAGTTGAAGGCAGACGCTTAGGCAACCGAGCCACCCGAGTGCCCTTTCCTCACCATTTTTTAAAGAGAATCTGGTGAATAATGTTTCTTTAACAGCTTTCAGGGCCTTGAAAGAGCTATTTAACCTCTCTCTCTCTCAGTTTCGTGATAGGTAAAATGAGATAACAGGTAAAGCTTACCTGTGCTAGCTTTACAATGACAGAACTTAATAATGTTGGCCTACATATTGTTTTCCATCCGTTTTTTACTTACATTCTCAAATTTAATAATGCGTTTTCCCCCAATTATATATACGAAGATGGGTTTAGAGAAGTCAAGTGATGCAAGGGATCATAAGCACACATTTCAAAAGTTTCACATGTGTGATCACATTTGGCTCTCAGGACAAGTCCGAGGTACACAGGGTCTCTTCACTTAAGATGCTAGGAATCTGGTCTGGAGAGAAACTAAGCAATTATTCTAGGTTCACAGCTGGTCTGTGGTGGCACAGGACTGGTTTAGTTATTCTCAAACCTTCCCACACATTGGAATAATCTAAGACCCTTTGAATGCCAGGCTGCACCCCAGAACAATTAAATCTGAGACTGCAGGAGGGATCCAGACATCAGTAATTCCTTTAATCCCCAGCAGTTTCCAATGTACAGCCAGCCTCAAGAACTAGAAGTTTAAGGCAGTGCTTCTCAAACTTGAATGGGCCTATGAATCACCTGGGGATCTAGTTAAAGTGATTCTGATTTAATAGATTGGGAGTGGGAGCCAAATTCAGCATCTTTAACAAGCTTCCAAGGAAACAGGCATTTTCAGAATAAGGGCAAAGGGATAATTCAGAGGGTCCTAAAAGGGGGCCAAAATGGGAGTACGCTGCCTACGCATAGTAGATAGTTCATATAAAGGTGCCGAATGCCTGAATGAATAAATCGGTCCAACAGATTCTCCTGGAACTTTGAACTAAAAAAGGAAATTAATTAGGTAGTTATATGTGAGGGCTAAAGAGAAAAAGCATCAAAAGAAACCTAAGATTGAGCTATGAGGAGCATGCAGACTGAAACTATGAAGAAACAGAAGCCACAAATAATATATGCTCAAGAACAGATTTACAGAGTAGGGAGTAAGAACAAGCAAAGGTAATGGAAGAAACCAGTAAACACACAAACAGAAGCAGACTTAAGCATGTAATGCAGAGACCACCTGGTTCTTAGACTCTCGGGCTGCCCTGATACTAGATACTCTGCAGGTTCTGTTTTTACAATAAAACCTTTTTCTAAAAAAATAAATAAATAATAAAAATAAATAAAAACCTTTTTCTCTTCGAGGTAGTCTGAGTACATTTCTACAGCTTAATTAAAAACATCCACTTTGTCTCTTTTAACACTCAAAATAACTGCAAGGTATGAATTATTGTTTTTACTTTATAGATGAAGAAATTAAGGCACAGAGAAGCCAACTGATTTCTTATCTGAAGATCTCAAAACTGAGTTTGACCCCAGATAAGTTTGCTCCAGGTAGTATCAAACCTATAACTATGAAGTTAAGTACTGGCTCTGTTTCATTTTTTCCCTGGCTCCTATCAAAATGTTTAAAACACAGTAGGGACTCAATTAAAATTTGTTAGATTCATGAATGAGGACTATTATAATCAACTTCTCAAAAGCATCATACATCTAAAAAAATACCTGATACAAGGGGAGAGCATTAATTCAGAAGAAATTTGGAAAATTTAAAGTACCAGTATTAAAGAATTATACAAGAAATATGTATAAAGTTTTCATAAACTTTAAGAACAAAAAAAAGTTGAGAAATGAGGATCTTTGAAAGAATGAACATAATCTTGCATTATTCACTCAACAATTCCAGGATTGCTCTAAAGCTTTTTTTTTTTTTTTTAATTCTGTTTATTCATTAGAGACAGAGAGAGGCGGAGGGAGAAGCAGCTCCATTCGGGGAGCCCAATGTGGGACTTGATCCCAGGACTCTGGGACCAAGCCCTGAACCAAAGGCAGACGCTCAACCCCTGAATCACCCAGGCATCCCTGCTCCTCAGCTTCTAAAATGAACACAAAGTTGGTTTAAATTTTTTTTAGATAGTAACTAGAAATAATCACTGATAGACTTCCATTGACAACCTATCAAATCACATATGCCTGTTTTTTAAAAAAGGAAAAATAGTGCTTTGTTGTAGTATAGCATATGATGGAATTCTGAATTAGTTAGGATGGGCCAAGTTGTGCTGAGGTAACAAATTAAGCCTGAAGTTTTCCATGGCTTAACTCATAAAAGTTTCTCTCTTGTGTAACATGTCTGACATGGATCAAAAGGGGCTTTGTTCCATATAGTCACTAAGGGATTAGGGTTGACAGACGTATCAACTTAAATACATAGATTCATGATTCCTGGGGCAGGAAAGGAGAACAATTGAAAGTCTTGAACCGGGATGCCTGGGTGGCTCAGTGGTTAAGCATCTGGCTTTGGCTCAGGTCGTGATCCTAGAGTCCTGGGATCAAGTCCCACATCAGGCTCCCTTCATGGAGCCTGCTTCTCCCTCTGCCTATGTCTCTGCCTCTCTTTGTCTCTGTGTCTCTCATGAATAAATAAAATAAAATCTTTTTTTTATTTTTTTAATTTTAATAAAATCTTTAAAAAAAAAGCCTTGAACCAAATCTTAGATGCTTCCACTATGCACTGTCCAGAGCTTTTGATATGGCCCTATTTAACTGCAAATTTGATGAGAAACATGGGGAACACAGAAATGTTTAGTAAGTAGACAATGCCATTAATACTGTGGATGGTGGAGTATCCCAGGATTCTGCCCTTAGCTCTCTTCTTTCCTTACCCATGTAGTCTCCTAGTTGATCCTATTAGTGTATAGATATTATTTATATCTCTAGTCCACAATCCTACTTCATTCCATTACCTACCCAGCTTGGATCTCCAGTGGGCATCTCAGGCCAACTTTGTCCAACGCCAAATCTTGGAATTTTACCTCCTAAGACTGCTCATTCCTCCTCATGTCTTTCTCATTTGATGGCAATACCTCCTACCCAGTTGCCCTTGTAATCCTAGATTCTTTACCTTAACCTAACACTTCCCATCAAATTCATCACAAATTTCTGTAGGTTCAATAATGCAGTGAGTGGTAATCTTTTAGTCATGTTTTCAAAAAAAGATTTAATTATAGTCTTCACTGAAAATGAGCCAAGTGTGATGTGGGATTAGGGAGGAAAGCGTGGGTTTTCATGTTTCCTAGGCATTTAAATACTTTCAATAATAGCATTAAGGGTGAAATTAATTATATTGGTGCCAAATGTTGGTCTGCTGGTTAATAGAGGAGTCAGTGAAGTTTCTATTCTTCTTATCTATAGTTTTTTTTAACTAATTGGTTTTTTTTCTTATTCTGAGATGAAGACTGAAATAGTTACAGACTTAAATCTATAGGACTTCAAAGATCTTTAAAGATAGACATCTTTGAAATTTATGGATACTCATTTTGTCAACTCATCCATGGTCATTTTGTATAAATGTCTCATGTGCTCAGGAAGAATGTGGGTTTACTCATTATGGGTGCAGAGCTCTATGTATGTCTGAATCAAGCTTACTTATTATGTTGCTCAATTCTTCATCAATCAATCAATAAATCTAAAAGCTAAGAAAAAAAATTTCTGTGTGCTTTATCACCGAGTTATGTGTTGAGTCCATCACTCTTCCTTGTGACCTTGCTACATCCTATTCTAGCTCCCTCATCTCTTGTCTGCATGACCACGGGAGCCTGTGCTCTTGTAGACTACATAGCATCTCCTACTCATGTGC